CCCAAAACCCCAAAACCCCAAAACCCCAAAACCCCAAAACCCCAAAACCCCGGCTTTTATTGTGAAGACTGAAGTATTGTTAAATTGGGTTTAAATACATCTTCAGTTTTTTGCCAGGTTTACAATCTTGGTTCGCTCATTCGCTTTTGAGACCCTTTTTGGAGATTTTATGCTTTGATTGCTTTTTGCAAGTCTGTTTTGGTAGTTTTTGGGGGAATTTTTGGGATTTTAGTTTTTGGAGGTGTTTATCTGAGTATTTCATGTTAGAACTGACGCTTTCGGTGTAGTTATTAAAGGAGAATGGGTTACTTGAGTTCCTGTAATGACTCCTTTTTGTTTGCACTTGCCCAAGATTTTCGATATCTCCTTTGGGATTACCATATTTCCTAAGTTGTTGTATAAACCACTGTTCTCTGTTCTCAGGCGTTTTGTTAGGTCTAGTTCTTTGCTCTGAGCATAAATAGCCTGCTCTTTCACCAATACTGCCCTTTCTAGCATGGTTTCTGGTCTTAATCTTCTTGGAATAATCCTTTTTATCAATAAATTTTGAGAGGCCATAATGCAAACTCCTGCAAGACTCAGATTGACTAATTTTTGGAATGTTTAAGTCTAAATTTTTGTCCCTCAGATTTGCTCTTGGAGGAGAGTACTTTATCCTATACATCAGAGGGAAGTTTACCTCTGGTTGACGCCCCAGCCAGACTCGTTTCTGTTGAAGCTCATGAAGTCAAGGTTCCTTGCAATATCATTATTTTGCAAGTCTATAAGTTGAAGCATGGGATTACTGCAGTGCTGGTCTGATCCTGAATTGAGGATCTTCTTTATACTCTGTGGGGAATGTACAAGTTTCTCTAAATCCTGCGGCTAAAAATAGGCTTAATTATTATACTTTTTGGAGAATTCCTTTGTGCACACTTTCATCGTTGAATAGAAGGAAAGATTTTGATCTACTTTTGGAAGCTGGAGTAGTCTCAAAATTGCTTTTGTCTTCTAAAAGTTATAGTTTAGGATACCTTCATTTCTAGGAGTGTTGTACTCATTGTCAATGTTTTTCTCTGAAAGGATGTTCTATAAATATAAGTAATTGGATTACTTGTTCGGTATTATTTTGAAGCATCTTTATCTGCTGAATCAATCCCGTCGTTTTGTTTTGAGTTTTGATCTGAAGGATATTTTAAGGAGGAAGCATTAGTTCCTTTAGCTTTATAAGCACAGGTCAAGCTCAAAGATAGGGATGAGTATGCACTATCCTTGATTGTATCTATTGATTAATGATTGTACTCTACCTGGATTGATTTGATCGCTTTCTTTCATGACGTCCTGGACAATAGACTTGATGTCCTTCAAGGAAATAATTAAGAGGGGTTCTCTACTGTTATTATCCGGAATAGAACCATCTCCTAACAGTAATTTCCTGAGATTATCATTCTCCTTTTTCCATGTATTCTGGCACTCTTCAAATATCTTCATAAGGGCTGAGTATTTCTTGCCAATTTTATTGGCCTGAAGGTCTAACTCAAGAGAAGTTATTTTATCTGTGAGCTCTCAGATGTTTTTCTCAAGGCTGGTTTTCTCTTCTTCAAGGATTTTAATAGTGCTCTGGAGTTTATCTATGAAATTAATGAAATGAGACATACCAATGTGGGTTCATTGTTGGCACTCAGGTAATGGAAGTGCATCCAAGGATACATCATGCATCTCTTGGCGCCAGTCCATGGTATTTATCTCCTTTTCAACATATGAACTAACTTCTCTAGGCTCAAGGAGCTGCTCTGTCTGGGTTTGGAAATCATTTGAGGTGATTTTAGAGATTGTAGCTGTATTCTCTTTTGAAGTAGTTTCATTCTCATGTTCTGTGATGGTATAATTTTCCCAGTTGAGTTGAATACTTGTGGTTGATTGGAGTGGACTTTGAATCTGAGCTACACCAATAACAGTTCCCTCTTTACCTTTGAGAATCTCCTGAGACAAACTATTAGACTGAAGGATTATGTCTATAGTCTTGTTAGTAAAATTACCTTCTTTCTCGTCCTCATCTTCAGTTTTGAGGTAAAATTCCTGTGTAGAGTCGATAATGCTGGATGTTCCTCCAAATATCTTATCTTGGTTCTCGGGAGAAGCATCTGGTTTTGAGTTTGGCTCTGGGGTGTCGGTCTCTTCATTGAAGATAATCAGTGACTCTGTCTTGACTTCCTCTTTAAGGTTGTTTTTGTAGAGAGGTTGATGGTTCGTCTTTGTTTTCTCAAATTCGAAACTCATGTCAGAATCACTTCGTGAGTCAATATCTCTTGGAGGCTTCATTAAGGTTCTGAGAAACTTCTCAGGGAGATTTCCTGTTGTTTTAAGACTGTTTTGGCCTTTTATTGGTACAGGAAGAGATGAACTGCTTGAAATTGCTTTTTGGTTTGGTTCCTCTACGAAATCTGGGTCTTTGATGGGCTGAGATTTTATCAAATAAGACTTGGAGAAATAATCTATCCATTCGTTATAGGATGTCTGTCGGTATTGGTTAATACCAGTGCTGAAATGTTGGACTCGTAAATGAACCAAAGACCGATTTATGGACTTGGGTTTTAGACTCTCTATCGAGGGGGATTCCTTTTTACTAAGTGACTGAGTTTCAGAGAATTCTTGGATCTTGATCTTTTTAGACTGCTGAAGCTCAACAAAGTCATCTTTCCTAGACTTTTCAGGAAGTTTTAATCTAGAATACTCTCAATAGGCATACCTAGATGGCTTGGATCCTGAGAACTCAAGCAGATTGTAAAGAGCTCTGGTGTTTTTAAAGGTGTCTCCCTATATTTGAGTTAACAGATATATATACCTTTTCATCTGTTTTTATTCTTTCCATTTTAATGTCGCTGTGAATTTGAGCAAAATAGAGACTTACGAATAGACCGTGTTGAAGGGTTTTTGGAGAACTTCGGTTGGCTCTTCTAGAGAGTTCTCGCTATCCGAGCATATTTGGAGTGAACTCTGACTTCCTTTTATTCCTTGGGTGTTGAATTTTATGCTATTGTTGGAGGTCATGTGCATTGAAGATTCAATGCTATTATCTATGATAAGGATGAGGTTTGGAATTTAAAAGGAATTCAAAGTGTTTGGAAAACTCCATTTTTGGAGCACACTTACATTCGTCACCTAATAAGGGAGTAAGCTTATCAGCCATTTATAGAACTAACGTTATGAATTTCAAATATTTTGATTTCGATAGGGGTTTTGGGGTTTTGGGGTTTTGGGGTTTTGGGG